ATTTACCTGTTATCGTTTACTCCTTTTTCTCCTGTGTTTAATTGCTTACCCTATTTAGTTGGTTGCTTCTGATCTCATTCCTGGAGTTATGATCATTTTGGTCCCTCTCTAGAACATCTTTCAGTAGCCTGTGTAGGGTTGCATTTGTCATCGCGAAATTTTTTAGCTGTTCTTTGTCATGAAAGTATTGCACTACTCCATCAAACTTGGAAGAGAGTTTTGCAGGGTATAGTAGTCTGGGCTGGAAATTGTTTTCATAGAGGACTTGAAGTACTCTGCTCCTTGCTCTTCTTGCCTTCATGGTTTGTGAAGAGAAGTAGGCCGTAATTCTGATGGGATTTCCTTTGAATGTGACATGCTTCTTTTCTTTAGCCACTTTCAGTAGATTATTCTTGCACTGTATTTCTGGGATCTTGGGTATTATATGTCTTGGTGCATTTTTCATTGGGTTGAGTTTACTTGGCGTTCTGTATGCTTCGGTTACCTGAATGTCAGATTGTTTCCTCATATTTGGGAAGTTTTTTGCTATTACTCAGCCCATATTTTTTTTATTGTCATTTCTATTGACTCCTTCTTTCTCATTGATGCCTATTAGTCTCACATTGTTCATCTTTGCATCATCTTGCAGGTGATGGATTATTCTTTCCTGCATCCTTGTTGTTTTTAAGAGATCCTTTCTTACCTTTTCACTAGCTGCACCAGCATCTTCAAGATCTGAAACTCTGTCTTCATTTTCAATTAAATGGTTTTGCAAACTTGTGATTGAGAGTTTAATTTTCTCTATATCTCTTTGACTCTGCTTCATGCGATCTATTTCTTTCCTGTTTTGCTCATTCAAGGAATCTGTCATTTTTCTAATCTCCTCTATTTTTTTTTATGAATGTCTTCTTTAGAAGCAGTTATAAATTCTTTTACTGCAGTGTTTTTTTCAGATTGGGTTTCCTCCCTATGTTTGTGTAGTTGCTTCTTTACTTCAAATGCTATGAGTTCTGAGAATTCTTTTTTTTATTTCAGAAAAAAAATTGTGCTCTGGGGGCTGGTGAGATGGTTCAGTGGTCTAAAGCACCTACTTAGAACAAGCTTCGCAAAGCACAGGGACCACGGTTCAATCCCCCAGCACCACATGCCTGCCAGCCCCGCCCCCTGGTGGGCTGAGCTGGTCACACACACACACAGACACACACACACACACAGACACACACACACACACACACAGACAAATAAATAAAATTTAAAAAAAATTATGCTCTGAGTTCCTCTATAACTTTCTGCTGGTGCTTATTTACTATCGATGCTATTAATTCATGCATTTGAGCTGAGCTAGTGTCCTCTGCACTTGTTCTTGGTGGGCATTGGGTTTCTTCCATATGTTTCTGCATTTGATTCTTTACTGCAGATGTTATTAACTCAGGGATTTTTTATTTCCAATCTGAGTTCCTCTATACCTTTCTGCAGCTGTTTCTTTATTTCAGAAGCCATTGATACATTGCTTTCAGCTGTGTGATTCCTAACTTGTTCTGTTTTAGTGTCCTCTGCACCTGTTACGGGTGGCCTTGGGTTCTGAGGTTGCATTTTGTTCCTTCTCGTCATTTTGTGTAGCACTGTCTTCTGACCTTTGTTGTAGATCTTTGTTGTAGTTATAACCTTAGCAGGTACTGAAGTTCAGGTGCAGATTGGCCTGGTCTAGGAATGGCTCTGGGAGATCCCGGAATGGGGCAGAAATTCCTACTCGGAGGGCGGGGTTGGGAAGGTGCTGCGGAGTGATGGGGGGCATCCCAAGGTGTTGGAAGAGGGTCTCACCCACGCTGCGTGTGGGCTGGGACCAGTAGTAGGTCCTGCTGGTGCAGGGTAGCAGGAAGTTCTCCCACACACTTACCGGGCCTGGGCTAGGACTGTGCCTGTGGGTTCTTGGAACGTGGAAGCAATTCCTACTCGGCAGGCGGGGTGGGGGAGGTGCTGCGGAGTGTTGGGGGATGTCCCAAGGTGGTGGAAGAGGGTCTCATCCACGCTGTCCCTCTTGCTAAAATATTTTCAAAGGTTGGCATATCTCAGTGCCACTATCCATTCCATTCACAAGGAAACACTATTGGTACACATTCACTCATCTTCTGGTCATTCTCTCAGCAAGCATCTAAATACCTATCAGGTGAGTGGACAGCAGACCGAGCAGAAGAGCTGAAATAGCATCTTATGCCTCTCATAGAGCAAACAGGACCACATGGGAGAGAGATGAGATAAATAGTCATGTGGCATTGCAGTTGCTCCAAGTTCCAGTTCTGGAACAACTTGGCTTCATGCCCAGAATCCATCTTGTGAAACCTCTGGAGGACCACCTGGATGGTTCTTTGTGAAAGAAGAGCACTTGGCCCTACTTCAGTGTAGTGACATGTACGGAACCAGATTAGGTATTTCTATAGCCCCTCAGCTGATTTCAAGCAATGCAAATGCGTCTAGGGGAGGAGCTGATGTGTAGTCCTTAAAGCAATGGGACAGGCCAGTGATGTCCTGCCTATAGCTCCCAAGCAGTATGCGTGAGGTAGGCCAAGTGACACCATGGTCTCAGCTGGGATTAAGCTCCAAGAAAGAAGGTGTAACATCTCAGGGTGTGATGATTACACATTAAAATACAGACCCCAAAACACTACCTACTGCCCTAACCTGTGATATGCAGATTACTCCTTCAGTATCTCTCTCTGAATATTGCAGAAGTGATTTCAGGCCTCCTCCCTAGCCCAGCTCACAGCACCCACCTACTTCTTGCCATCCTCAGGGTCACTCTTCCCCAACTACTCCTTTCTTCACAAATTAATTGAACCTTGTGCTAGGTTGGAGCCTTTGTTCTGGTTAGCCATCATTCTAGCTACACTTAGGACCTTCTTGGTTCCCCAGAACTACAACTGTGCTTTAGTGTCTTTATTTTCCCCATAGGATGCACTGGAAATGGGAGATTGTAAATGCTCATTTTGATTCCAATAACTTTTCTCTGTGATTATAAATGTGGACTCCTCCAGGTGGCAATGAGGTCCAGGAGGACTTTCTTAAAACCTGAGCTTCTTATTTGAGCTCTCTGAGAATCTGTGAAATGGGCATAACTTTCTTATGGAGCAAGTGGAAGATGAAATTTAGTATCAGTGACTGAGCATTCTTCTCATGTTGTCAACACCCACACATTGGTTTTCCTGGCCAATAGGCCTATAGAACATGCCTATTTTCCTTCTTGTTATTATTACTACTCTCTAGAATTTACCTAAAACTGTGCCTCTTTGCAAAAGCAACTCTGGGTATCTATTAAGCCAATTTAGTACAGGTCAACATGTTCTGAAGGCTTTCCTAGTTCAAGACACAACTACAAAGCCTTGTATGCACTGCTTACCACAAGAGTATGTCTTCTGTGTAAAGGATGTACCTTGTAAAATCTCTTACTCATGATGGTGGAGGCATGGGAAGGTAAGTAAGCTGACTCGATTACATAGATGGTAAATGGAGAAGAGCACATTACCACTATACCATGTCACTGCTACACTGCTGCTTGTTGTAACTGCAACTAACACAGAACTCAGTGATTTTCAGTGATGAGGGATTTTATTCCCTAGGGGACATTTGGCAATGTGTGGAGACATTTTTGCTTGTCACTCTGGGGCTGCATGATACTGACTTCTAGTGGGCAGAAGCCAAGGATGCTGCCAAAGACCTGACAACGCACGGCACAACCTCCTTTCTCAACAAAGAACTATTCAACACAAAGTATTACCATTTCTGAGGGGGAAAACCCCAATAAACACTATTTAGAACCTCGTTGATAACTCTGAAGGAGCCACAAATTCCCTCAGCTTCCAAAACAGGGAGCTTCAAGTACAGTCAGAAAACATCATCTGCTTTGTTACAGGAAACCCTTGAAGGAATGACCTGTAGTCAGCTTCTTAGGGCACATTCATCTTCCACTGAGATAAATCAACTAAAAACACACATGGAATACAGTACCTAGAAGAAGAGAACAGGGGCAAAATACATCACAGGACCACAGTCGAAAACAACTGATGGTCTGCTCGCATGAAGAATAAAAGGAATACATGGAGGTGCTCACTCTCTGAAGCAGTCTTCTCATGGGAATCCCTAGAAGAAAGAGCTATGTGGATAAACAGAGCTCCTGGGAACAGGAACGAGATCATGCAAGCACACACAAGGACACAAAGCTAAAGAGCAAGTGTAGCTGCTTCAGGAGCTATTGCTTTGTCTCATATAAGTAAGCTTCTGGAGGCATTCTTTGGAAGAGAACAATAAATACAACTTTGTAGAGAATTTGTCCCCTTTCCTCATAACTTTCAGAGTAATCAAGCTAGGCAAATGGGCTTAACTAGTAGGAACGAGAATGGGAGGCAGGAAGCTCACCTGAGGACGTTTGCTTTATTCAATCTAATAAACATTTTATTTATATAAAAGACAAACAATGCATAGAATGAAAATAAGTGCTTGAGATTTTTGATATAAAAAGAGTAGTTAGCTTTCACATTCCTATCTTAATACAAGTCCAGCTGAATGAAGTGTTCCATAAAAGAATAGAACTTTTTCTTTGTGCATAGTAGTGAACATAAGTCAGTACTTTTAGGAACTATAGAATGCTATTCCTTGGTCTTTTTTTTTTCTTCCGTTAGAAAAAAAAAAAACATAGACAAAACAAGCCACAGTATTATCTGACATTACATTCCAGTTTCTGCTGATGATGACCAGGAAGTGGGAACACTCTTGAATCTTGGACGCATGGATGGACCAGTATTCTAGCAATTCACCACTAGAGGTCAATGAGCAACAGCCCTTTGGGATGGCATCAACAAGTCCTAAGGTGCAAGTGGAATTTCTGGGTGCTCCCATGGCACTGTGAAACGCCCCCTACTTCTCTCACCCACCACCGTGAGAAGGGTGCCTAGAAATTCCATCCCCAGCTCAGCATACAACATAAAACCTCAATGAGATAAGACCTTCCACATTCGAAACAGACCTGACATGGCTCCTGACACTCCTCCTTTAATATTCCTATTTGGTGAAAAATAAGTAGTTTCAAGAAACATTTAAAAAAAGCTGCTTTCAGCATTAACTCTTGTTTGCATGTTAACAAGTTTCCTATGGAGTATTAAAGCTCATCCTTTGCTCCTTTCCATATGGACCCAGATTGCATAACTGGAAACAGAACTCCGACGTCTTCCGACATTCAAGTCCTCAAGAGTAATTTCTGCAAAGGCTGGGCAGGCTAACCTGACACAGAGATCTGTAGCCATGAGGAAAGCTTCTTGGAGGTAAGGCTTTTTATCCCTAAGGCATAAAGGAAAATTCTTAGCATATAAACAAGAGATTTGGTTAATGAGACGCATACAGAGGAGGTCCCCTTTAATCCAAGAGAAGGTGAACTTTTACCACCAGATAAGATAGGTGAAGTCCTCTTAAACAGCCACAGAAGGAAAGCTGGAAGGTATGTTTCCTCCATGGGACTTTGGAAAGGGTTGGGGCTAGGCAGTGGAAAGCACAAATGTTTACACTGAGAAGTGAAGCAGCTTTTGAAGTAAGTCTCTGCCTTCATTTTGTAAACAATGTGGTCTGGAGACCTGGAAACCATTTGCTATCCTTATCTAGGGTCCAGATTTTTCTGCAAAATCTCCAAATATTTAAAAAGTGGCTCAACTTTTTTTTAAACACTGTGTTGATCAAGCAAAACATTTGTACAGAATGTCTGGAGGATTACAGTCTGGACAGCGGGGGAACTGTATGGTTTAAATCCTTTCCACCAGGCCAGAATGTGCTTTGAGTATTCAAGAACCCAGGAAGATGGATCACATTAGTGTTTGCACAGAAACTGCAGACTCGGGCCAAGGGTGACAAAAAGTTTAAGCACAGTGCGCCCCCCAGTTGGGGAGATTTTCCATTTTAGGAAAGGATGAAGGCCTGGGGCGGGCAGGAGTGGACAGTAGTAACATTGGTGCAGTGAAAAAAATTTGAAAGAACAGTCGTATTAGCAGATGCTGTAGCAACTTCACAGATGGGGAACTGTGTCTTTCTGATTATTCCACTGCCTGTGAAGGGAAAAGATGAGACTTAAGCATGCTATTAGCTGGGGCTGAGCTTGTGAATTCAGTTGAGGAAAAAGGTTCACAAAACAGATGTGGGGCTTGGAAACTAAGTGAAAAGTCCAGGAGAAACCAAGGCACACAGGACCCCCAGAAATACTGGTCTCCAAACAGTGCCATTATACCTTCTCTGTAGCCAGAAAATAAACTATCAAGAAAGGAATTGCTATTGCAAAAGCATGTGCAGCATGGCTCTGAGACAGGGATCACTGTCCTGCTGCAGAGTTGTCTCCTGTAAAATGGCCAGAGACTCATCGCATGCATGATTGTCAAGTGCTAATGCTGTAATGAATTCCTGCCCTCTCTGCCAGGTTCTGGAGCTCTCCAATAAAACCAATTTCTTGGGAATATCTAATCATTTTCCTTGTCTCTTTTCAGAATATGGCTATAGATATATAGACATATATATATATAGATATATATATATATAAAACATAGCTATTCCATATTTATATACAAGCATTAATAAAGTGCAAATGTTATTGGCTATTGTAAAAATCAATCTCATTTCCTGAGGAAGTGCTAACACAGCTTATCCCATGACGAAGTCAAAGGCACAGAATGCTTTCTGTCATCTGTCCCTACTGCTGCTGTTTCCACTCCTTACACAGCTTATCAGGAGGGAGTGACCCTCACTTTTCCAGGAAGCATCAGTTCAGAGTCAGTTTCCTGCTGCCTCTGTTCTTTGGTGAGAGGGGCGGCTCTTTGGACTGGGCCTTGCCTGCCCCAGAAGAGCTATTTGGTAGTGTTCAGCGAGCCATCTTCAGGAATCTTCTCTTCAGAGCAGCTCCGCCTGGAGAGTCTGTCCAGGTGCTCCAGCTCACTGAAGCGTTCGGCCACGCACTGGGCTGTAAGACGAGCCTCTGGGTCGTGGTCCCAGCACTCAGTCAGTGTCTCACACACCATCTGGATGCCCTGTGGTGGAAGAGATGTGCAAAGGGCACTGTCAGTCATTATTCATCAAAGTCCTCTGTGAGATTAGGGTTGGTCCATTGTGTGTGTTATGGATTCTAGCAAATGTGTGATGACATGTATCAGCCCCTACAGACTAATACAGAAATTTCTCTGCCTGAGAAATTACCCGTGCTCAGCCTGTGCATCCTCACTCAGCCTGTTTCCCTTGCCTTTTTACTGTCTCCTTGGTTTTGCCTTTTCCAGAGCTGGATTATATAAACCTGAACCCTCCAACTCAGGAGTATACAAGAACAGACCCTTCTCTTATTTTGTGAAGTCTAAATAAGGTAGTCAGGAGACAACCACAGGGACAAAGATTGGGTGAGGTCATGGATCCTTAACTTGCTACTCATTAAGAGTTTGATTTGTGTTGTCTTCTGATGTTGTCAAGGACTTTGCTGAAAAATCATTTGGGCCAACCGATGCCTAACTAATAACTAAATCCAGTGTAAAAGTTGACATTTATTTTGAATCTCTCTCCTTTGTGTCTTTAAAACTTTGAGCTTATGTGTAAACATAAGAATTATATGATTCTTTATGCCTATTTTTAAAATATATTTTATTTTTTTAAATGTATTTTCATCATATTCTGTAGTGACTTAAAGTTCAACATATCAATACTTGATGAAAAATACTGTTCCATGTTATGCCTAAGATGTTTGATATTCAGACAGATAGTGAAGTTAAGCTTAACAGCCTAGGTTGTATGGTAATAACAATAAGCTTCTCTTCTGGAGGGTTAACAACCTAAGTTTGCAGACCAAAATTAGAGAAAAAGGAGGGCTGCAAGGAAAGCCAACATTTTGGCCCTAGCCTTCCAAGGTCAATTAAGACTCCCAACATATGAGAACTTGTACTGTAACGTCACATAACTCAGTAGTGTCCCAAATTTTCTGATCAAGGAGATTATGGGGCCAAAGAGGAAAGTGATCAATGATGTAGAGTGTGCCTAAGGAGAGTCACATGGAGAGATTCTCTCAGGCTTTCACAGAGAGCACATTGGTCAAACAATGGCCATGACTTATCTACATGGCTGACACTGACAAAGGATCTACAATCTGAGGTACAGGATTTCAGGATAAATCCTGAGGGGATTTCACTGACCTTATCAGATCCAAAAGATACAATTCTTGTTGCATAGGTCTTGCTTTATTATGGTCTTAACCATCCAGCAGTATGGTTAAGTATAAAAACGAAGTATAAGAAGTAAAGCCATGGTGTTATGTTGAGCTATAGGGGACTCAGGTCAACAATTTCTGACATTGCCAGTCAACTGGAAGACCCAAAACTATTATGGACTGCTGGACTCTTTTTAGAATATTTTGCTGAGTTAACACACCAATATTCAAACAACAGAACTAAACAAAAAAGGGGATACAGATGAATGTCCATTTTGTATCTGTGTATTCAAAATGGTTAGGATAGATATATAGTTACATTCTTGTAATGAATAGAGTGATTTGTTCTAATAGTGTTTGTAAATAGGATATCATGTCCGCATCTTGTACAGCAAATAACCACTAGGAAGAGAGTATGCAGTGTGTTAATTATTGAAACTGTCCTACCAATTTGATTTGAAACTGTCTCATTGCTATTTGTATCTCAATAAAATTATGGAAAAAAAAACTTTGAGCCAGATCCTTGCTCAGTTCTGCAGGTAGGCATGGTAATCATGTGGGGAGGGCATCTAAAAGCCAGCAATGCAATGCTGACTAGCCCTAAATTTACATATGTTATCTCATCCCCTTTCAAGACTGAGGACATTAACATAAGAAATTTACAGGGACTTTCAACTACCAATGCTCACCTAGACCCCTCCAGTCCTTACCCTGAGTTTCATTCACCTTGGTGATAGGTTTTTCCAAGGTGCTGTAAAGAAAGAGGAAAGATAAAAGAAGCCTCTATTAACTCCAAAGATATGGAGAGGATCAAGGGCAGATGGGTCTGGTCTATCCTCTGGCCTGAGACAAAGAAAGCTGGGCTTCTATGGACTTCTTTTAGGGGTGCAGTGTGAGGGGGACATTTAGAAATATCTGAGGAGCTGATTGGGGCCTTCCCTGTGGCGGCAGGAAAGGTGAAAAGAAACTGCACTCTAGACTGGGTTGGATAAGTGGGGACGTGGTCTCTAGGAAGATGAGCTGTTGTTTTAAGGGCTTCAGCCATAGTAGATGACCACCATAATCATTCAGCAGGTTATACTAGGGCCAGGTCCTATCACTTGGTCACTGTGAACTGATGGCTTCTGCTAAACTGAGACCACTTCAAGCAGCAGTAGTCATCCCATGGAGAACAGATCACTCCCTCAGGCTACAAGGACTTCTTCAAAGCCTTCTTGCAAAACCAGAGCAGGGATAATGATCAACCATCCCAGGACCCCCCAGCTACCCCATAAAAGCTGCTTCCTTCCTGTCCTGATGAGCCAATTCAATCTTTGCCATCACAGTTACGCTCCCTTCAGCTCTTCAAGCTGAAGCCTCTTTTCACTTCCTCTCCCTTTCTTACTCAGCTTGATACATGTTCCCTATGCATCTTACCAGCACATCCTGAAAAGCTGGTCTGTGACCTTAGTTCAACAACCTGTCCTGGCTGAGTTTGAGATCTCATCTCCTCTTTAGGAAAACCTCCTCAGACCCTGTCTGATTGCATAAGTTCCATGGAAGATTCAACAGCTGCTCAAAAGAGCTGGCAAGGATGCCATTCAACAGCATAAGTCCCAGTATCACACCTGTTTTGTGTGTCACCTGTACTTGCCTGTGAGTCATTTCATGGGGTTCCTCCTACCTCTCATAGGCCCCAGTCCAGTGAGCCCATCTGGGACACACTACAGAGGAAGGTGGCAAGAGTTCTCTCTCTCTGCCTCAATTTTTATTTTGCATTACAAACATACTTGTTACTGTTTCAAATCCTTTTTGAAAATATAGTAGACAAGAGGTGGGAGATGGAAATAAAGTGAGCTCCATCCATTAGAAGCATTAACCTTGTCCATGGTAACCTGTCGCTCGGGGGGCTGAGGTGCCACAGAAATACCCTCACACTGCCCTGAAGATCTAGTTCTTGTCTTTCAATACTAACAACCTTCACAACATACACAGGAACCATTCTCACTTCCTCTCTGCCCCATGAGTTCTTGATGCTGAATTCATTGCATAATTCACCTAATTGATGGTATAGATTGATGGGCCTGTTAGGAATAGAGTGTTACTGCTGGTACACGAGGAACATTTATTTTATTCTGGCACTGTAATTACAGGCAGTAAATTCAATTAAATATTAAACATTAACTTGAAATCAATAGGGCAACAAATCTCATTAAGAGAAAAAATGTATTATGCAAATTCTTTCCAGAATTTTATCATTAAGAATAATGATTTCATTATAAGAACCATGCAGCAAAGGAAGCAGCAAGTCTGAAAGAACTAACCAGCATAGCACCTTCTGATTCCACAGTTTCTGCAACCAGTGTTGGATTTTTAGAGACAAAGTTAAGTTGCTTGACATCCTAGAGAAGGTACTGACCTTCTGCAGTCTGGGTCTGCCTCACTCTGATTTTATGAAGGTTGGTCTGCCAAAGTGGACTCATGGACAGGGCCGGCCCTGACAAAGCTTTCTGCTCTTTTGCCATCTGAGCCTGATTTGTTGTTTCCATTTCTTCATCTGAATTTGCCTTGCTGTTAGGAAAGCCTATGACTTAGCATCAGTCTTCAGAGATGAGGGAATTCATTCGTTAGAGCAAAAAGAGATGTTCTGTCCGTGAGGCATGCTGCTCTCTCTCATTCTTCCAAAAGGGCCCTTTCTTGGGTGCGTCACACATGGCCAATGCTTTCTTACTCACAAAAGCCTGTTTGCTTCTTATTCTCTGACTGCTGCTCTCATCCAGGACTTCCAAAGCAATGACTCTGAAAAGGGGCTGGATAATAGCTCAGTAGAATAAACGTTTGCCTGGCAATCACAAGGGCCTGAGTTCAATCCCCGGTTCCACAAACATAAATAAATACATACATAAATAAAAATAAAAATAAAAATAAATAATAATAATAATAATAAAAAGAGCAATGACTCTGAAAGGATTCCCTGAAGTTCAAGCCACCCCTCTGCTAGGAGCTATCTGAGCTTCCATTTCTTGAGAAAATATAAGAAGTCACCAGAATGTGCCCTACAGTGTCCCTGTCCTTCACTGACCCTTCCATCATTGGCCTCTTGCAACTCCATGTGCACAGCCTGGACACTGAACTGCATCATATACTCATTTCTCAATTCTGGCTAACAACCTTGCCTGTTCCACAGTTGCCTAGGATTTTTTCCCCGAGCTGGAGAATCCCAGAGAAAATCAGCTGGAATCAGAAGGAATGCACTTGAACTCCTGATGTTAAGGCACAGGGAGCAAGAGTAGAGGCTGCAAGTATGGTATTTTAAGCCAGAACCAAAAGACTTTGGATGCTGGGACCCATGCCCTTGCCAATGCCTTCTCACTCATTTATTTGTGAGTTATATATCTTCTGGTTGCAACTTATAACAATAGGGGCATCCACTTTAATGAAATTTTCTTCATAAACAAACCCTAACTGGGCCATAGAACATGACAGAATGTAGCTTCAGATTTAAGCCCAGGATCCACAAATTCTCTCTTACCTAAGAGACCATTTCAGATGAATGTTATTCACCCTTCAGCTGTCATTACTCCTTACCTGGTGGTTAAGCCAGAAGCTGGGAATTTCTGGTCGCCCTCTGTCTCTTAATACATTATCCTTCATGCTCTCCACACAAGGGTGCTCCCGTACTTTGGAACCAAACGGAGGCTCATAATCTTTGACTTCTGTGAAGAAAGTGGGCAAACACAGATCAACTAAGACTGGTATTTGCAGTCCAGGGAAATGGATATGTGGAGTTGCTGGGTTGGGTTGCATGAGATGTTCGGTGTCAAAATGCATCTATAATTACCTTAAAAATATTTTTAATAGTAGTGAATTAAAATAAGAAAGGAATGGTTACAGAAGGATCCTGGGTACAATTCGACAGGCGATTGTTGGGTGCTGGCTGTGTGCGAGGTGTTCTGCTAGCATCTGGCAGTGAAGTGGGGGGCAAGACAGGTCAGGCCACATAGCTTCCATCTTACCACAGGAGTTTTTGATGGAGTGATTCGCCCCAAAGAGATGGGAATTTTTGACAGGTGGGTAAACTGTGCATATTAAAATGAGATGTGGTCCTCGAGATGTGGTCCTCTCCAGGACCATAGCACACAAGTCAGCTTAAGATGTGGTGCTACGTCTATGAGAAGAGTTGGCCATGAAGAGGTGTGAGGTTATGAACATGCTACGAGAACGTTCGATTCAACATGACTTTCCCAGTGCCCAAGCTGTCTGCCAGTGAGGACATTATTCCCAGCTCAGCACTCTCAGCAAACGCAGGACGTTGTCAAAAGGCAAGATGGAGCATGGTATCTTCCAAACACCAGGGTATCAGAAGATACTCAACCATTTATGCCAGACACCTCAATGACCTCACCCTCCGAGGCATGAGACATCTAGGGACTTTTGAGCACTCAGGTCTACTAAGATCTTCCTGTCTAATGTCCAATGCCTTCTTCAAGCCCTACGAAACAAAAGCCTGCTTCCCTTTGCTCCCTACAGGCAGCCTTTTTGCCTTCTGTCTGCCTGTACCCAGTCACAATAAATTCCAGGCCATGTCATCTATATTTAAGTCTGGTGGTCTTGGGTTGGCTCTGCCTCCCACAGTTCCTTACAGTTAGGTGCATTTTGAAGACATGACATTAAAGGAATAAGCCAGACATAAAAGAACAAGTAGTGTATGATTCCAATGACCCGAGGCTCCATGATGTGATGATTTGAGTACTTCCACCGAAACTCATGATGAGATTTAATCATCACTGTTAGGAATTAAGAGATGAGACCTTTCCAAGGTCAAGGGGACTCCACCCTCCAGAATGGATCAATTCTTTCCAGGCTTAGTATGTTGACAGATTAATGGGTTATTTAAAGAATAGGTCTGGGGACAAGGTAATGCCTCAGTGATCAAGCCTATCCAAAGAGGGAGTACAAGTGTGTGTGTGTGACTGCCCAGGGCCCTATGGACCTCACTCCAGCCACTGGGCAGGCCTGGCGTGTGTAGAACTTCCTCCATCAGACAGGCCTGGTATGGAACCCTGCGGCAGAACTCCCTGCAGAGAGGCTAGAAGCAAGACCCACTCAGCTGATCCAGGAGCAGAACATCTTGCCAGAGTGGAATAGTGGGTTCACTTCCAAGGGCTGTAGCAGGAAGAAGTGGCGCACAGCAGCCAGACCCAAGCCACACCCACCTGGACACGTTTGAACTGGGTAGATCTGGACCTGTTGCTAAGGTAATAACTACCAAAGTTCTACACCAAAGATCAGAAGACAGTGCTATACAAAATGACAAAGAGAAGGAACAAAATGCATTCTCAGGCCCCGGGCCCACCCAGAACAAATGCAGGAGACAACAGCAGAGAAGAAATTGGAAAGCACACACCTGAAATCTCTGAAATAATAGGGTCAGAAGTAATAAAAAAAAAAAAAAAAA